GGGTGACTCAACAGAAAGTTGGTTAAATTAATTGTCAAGCTTCTGATAATCCTGAGGAAGTCAAATGATGAAATAGCACATGACTGATCATTTATCATTTCAAGACCAGGAAACCTGTTGAGGCCTTTGTGTTATTTAGTTTCCCGAGCATCGGTTCGGAAGATCGATTTGAATCTGTCACAATTTATCTCAATCATCCTGTGCACGACTTTCCTCTCTTCTGAAGAATCCACAAGAGGCCTTTTGGACAGACTTCAAAACGGGACAGAATGTACTTGATGCAACAATTACCTTTATTAAATGTTTGCATAGAACAAGCAGTGCAGAAACTGACGGACTGGGCAAAAAGAAACAGCAGACATTTCACTTTCAGCAGATTGTATGAAATGCTGATCCTGTACAGAAAAACCAAACGTCCCTCAGCACATTCCTGCAGCATATCTCATGTTGTTGTTGTTGTCTTGTCTTCCTCTCATTAGCAGCTCCTCTCTCAGCGCAGAGCAACATGGCTGCCATAAGTCAGCAAAATGAGACTCAGTTAAGAAAGACCGGTATGTCTCCTGGGATCGTCTGGCTTTTTGGAAAATCCATATCCAACATTAATAATCTAATAATTGTCAGGAATGAAAGCCGCTCTGCTCACAGTGATGTGAAGCTCTGCATCTCTGGTGCAGAACTGATATTCTTTAGTTTTGTCTTCATGGAAAAGTTTGGTTTGTTGAAGCAAAAAGTGTCAGACGACTCTCGCTCTGATTCAAACTGTGCGTCAGTGATTGACTGTTCACTGAGCTGTCTGCAAACATCTGGACGTCAGGGCCTCACAATGAGCGTTACGTACTGGAAATACATTTATAGCACATATCTCTACAAGCTCACGATCATAAAGAGTGTGTATATATCACAACCCCTTGTACTATTGTATTGTTATACTCATAGATGGATGAGGATTCTTGTCCAAAACACATCTGCTTAAGGGCCTGTGCCCACATTCATGTTTTTTTGAGCTTGCAGCATCTGTTTTCAATACAAACCCAGTTTAGTTCAGCGTCAGAGTTCAGAATGCAAAACGGTTTACAGACCGATGCAGAGCTGGCTAAACACTGAAGCTTCAGAGTCCACGATATAGCAACCTCTGTGAGCATCGACTCTAGAGAGGAGGGGGCGGGGCAACACAGCTTTCAATGTGTTCAATTTGGACTGCAGTACCCAATTTAAAAGTCTGACCCAGGGATCAGTCAGCTCTCAGTCATGTAGTCTTAGCATCTTTAAACAAATCTCCACACAGCGGACGACTCTGACCCCTGCTCTGTGTTTCTGTCACTCTGAAGCCTCATTACACATCCACAGGGAACCACAACAATCACTACTGGATGGAAGAGTATCTGTTTCATGACATGATATCCTTCTTCTTCTTCTTCTTCTTCTTCTGCTTTTTTGATGAATCCAGCGGCTTTTCTCATGGTTCAAAAGTTCGAAGACAGAAAAAGGAGTATAGACTGCCTGAGCTTTAAACTGTGGAGTTAATTAATCTGTACATGTGTGTGTTAATTAGGAACACACACACATGAAGAGGGAAGGAGATCATGTAAAGGACAGCAGAGCTCAGAATAGCTCCATGATTGTCAAACTTTCTCTCTTTTCTGTCCGTCTCCGCCTCCATCTTTTCATCTCCATTTTATATCCCCTTTAACCAATGCTTTTTTCTTCTGTTTTCTTACAGCTATGACTGTGTTGTTTGTTTTTTTTGTTAGGAGGGCCTCGGGATGGAAATAACGGCACAGATTGCATCAAAATGAATAGGAACATATGATAGTGAACTGCATTAGTTATGTGGCTTTGAAGGGCAAATCTTATTCACAACATCGCAACGGCATGTTGTTATCAAGCAGCAACCTCTGGTGTTGAAACATGAAGCCGACGCTGAAGTTCCTGGAGTGTCCACTAGAGGCTGGCTGCAGAAGCACAGGAAGTCACATACACACCCATTCTAAAAAGCCTGTTTTTACAGCAGAGATGAACATGTTTACAGCCTGGTTCAAAAAACCAAATAGGTGTGATTAGCTCATGTCTGGATGGACACACACTGTACGGGGGGTGAATGTTTTGATGACTCATCAGTTTTGATTTGATGAAGGATAAGAGTTATTCACAATAAGGCGTGTAGCTGACCTGATTGACAGGTGGGCGCGGTGTAACGGTTTGTCAGGAGGTTTAAAACCCGCCTCAGCTCCAGCTCTCAGCCTGTCGTTAGGTTGACTGAAAGTTAGACTGAGACAGCATTTCCAGCATGGAGACCGCCATCGATGGGACTCCAGCGCCCCCTGCAGGAACAGACGGGGGACGCCACTCAGGCTTAGTTCATTAATATTTACGGTCTGTAATTGTGATACACCAATGTCCTGTTTCCCACCACATATGAGGATGCCGGTTCAGTATCATAGTGTTGATCCAGCAGCTGCATTCACTTATCACCTGTGTGGACGTTTCCACCTGAACTCCACAAACAGACTCCTGTGTGTTATATCAACATCGTCATTAGCAGCGGTAGCGTGGATCATCATTTGTTGCCGTGTTAGCGCTGTATTATTGTGTGACCCTGCCTGAGTGTTCACAGCTCTGTTAGCCTCACAACAGGAAGCAGACAGCGTGTTTAGCTTAACGACACTAATGAAGACATCCAGGCAGCGATTACAGAGCGTGCTCACATTAACTGTCAACTCAAATGAGTCCCGGCCTAAACGATCACGCTGTTTTATTGGCCCTCTGTGATGTGAAAGTGACCTGCTTTTATTGTATTGATTATTTTCTCTTCTTAAACGTTGATGCATGAGGCGTTCATAAACAGATTAGTCTGATGTAGCGAGGCAGACGATCGTAATGTGCAATTACACTCAGTTATTCTGAACCGACCACTTCATGTGTACAAACACTTATTCAACCATCTCGAACCCACATAATCAATAAGTGTGTGTGTTTGTGTGTGTGTGTGTGTGTGTGTGTGTGTGTGTGTGTGTGTGTGTGTGTGTGTGTGTGTGTGTGTGTGTGTGTGTGTGTGTGTGTGTGTGTGTGTGTGTGTGTGTGTCACTCTGGAGTGACTGACACCAAGCAGCAGCTGAAGCTAACGCTACCAAAGAAACATCAGCAGCAAACAGATCTGTTTATCAGAACACACACACACACACACACACACACACACACACACACACACACACACACACACACACAGGGCCCGGCAGGTCTGCATTCACAGTGAATTATACAAGGTGTAAATGGACACAAACACATACACACACTCGCTCTAATGGCCTACACCTGGTGACAACAACATCCAGATAAAAGTCCAGGTGAATAATGAGTTATGTGAATAATGAGTTATGTGAATAATGCGGTATGTGATTACTGCGGCTGGATAACGAGCTTCAGTCTCATTTAGTGTTCACCAAAATATTTCTAAAGCAGAGAGTGTGCAGCACTCTGCCATCACATGTAAAGGTTGAGAGTGTCTGCACAGCTTTCCATGTAAACTATGATCAGAGATGTGCCGTGTCAGAGGAGGAACTTACTGTGCTGTAACGGGCTAATTAATCGTTTGTTTTTGTTGAATTAGTCCTTTAAATTGAAAATCCACACATTGCACGTTTATTTCATAAGACAGGTGAGCAGGAGAGGAATGAGTCAAACAAAATATTCTTGCAGAGTCTTGCACAATGTCCAACCTCAATTCACATCGGCCGCCCCCACAGAAGTGTTTTCTGTGTTTGGTAACTGAATTCTGTAAGGGCAGCAGTGAGGGCAACTGGATAAGACGTGAAACTGGTCTTGTATGAATCTGGTCCTTGATCAAGATGGCTGCTGATCTGACCTGTTTGTCTGAGACCTTTACTATTTTGCGGACGGGCCACTGTGGATAGTTTAGGATCCATAACAAGGCAACATAACAATGTCTTCTTCCAGATTTTTTCACGACCTTTTTTGCCCCATGACCCTACTTTGACTTCATCAAACTCAGGCAACCCCAGACATCAAAACACAAACAGATTATTGCTGAAATAATTTTGTCTTGAAGTATGTCATGTTTTTTCTACTGTGTTGTAAGTTAACATTCATGTTAGAGCAGATTGAATCTTTTTGGTGTTTATTATCGAGGACAGAGGGAGAAAGGCTGTGAGGACACGCAGAGACTCTGCAGGTTCTTGTCTGAGTTCAATATATTTTAATATGCAATACATTTTTTGTTGATCAATAGATAAAAAACTCAGAAGACCTCATTTGAATTCTGGACCTTGAAATCTGCAAACACAAACAGAAGGTTGACCTGCAGGGTGTGACCCCACGTGGAGTGAGGACCCCAAGGTTAGGAAAGCCTGATCCAGATCGAGTATTTGAACATCTTCTGGTACAAAGACGAGGACACGTCAGAGAGTCATCTTCCTCTTCACAACTCCACACTTCCTTAAAGTCACTAGTTTGAATAAAATCTCTGTAACATGTAAAAACATCATTAAGATCCTTGTTACTGTGCAGATATGAAAAAGCGTGTCCTGTGAGATAATTATACAGAGACATAATGCTCGTGCTCACATGAGATCCAGAGAACGCTCTGCGCTCTCTCAGGTCCCCAGAGCCTCGTCATGTTTTTTTTTTTATTTTTCTTAAGTAGGTCACTTTGGTTTTTGTGATCAGCACATGCTGGAGTGTGTTGTTGGCATGTTGCATTCATGTCTCTTCACCCTCTCCTCCGTCTCTTTGTCCCCGTCCAATTTGCAGCAGCAGCGAGCTCGCCACATGAAGCCCGCCGAGGCCGAGTGAATAAATAGTCAAATTGCTGCCTGTGAGCCGCCAAGCATTTGCCTAATTGACGGCAGCTCCGCGTGTTGTGCTCAGCCCTCCCTCTGAGGACCTTTGACACACGAACAAATCAAATAATTACAACTCGTGTCATTGATGCCTCTGAACTCCACACTCTTTATTTATGTATCCGCTCTACTTCTTGTTTACAGCTGGCCACGTGGGACTCGGTGCACGGGCTGAACGGCAGTCTGAAGGAGAGCCGCATAGAGAACGGCATGCAGGGCGTGACAGTCAAAGTGGTCACTTTACTGGTAGGTAACATCGTGCATATGACGATTAATAAAGAGATTTGTTATGGATTGACAGAACTGAAATGTGTCTTACATCACAGCGGCTCCATTTGCATCCTAAAAATTAAAGACAAGATTCACAAATACAAATATTTGAGACAATTTGAGACAATCGTCCCGTTTGACCATCCAGAGGGACTTTAGGGGGGTACACACTCCACGATAAACAGGCTGATTTAGGGCCTGATTCCTTCCTTCAGACCAAAGTCAGCAAAAGTCTGATTATCTGATGGTTCTTAAGATGATGTTTCCAGATGTTCCTGTGGTGTGTGTGGCGTGTTCTTGCCTCGGTGGTGAGTGATTTTAACCTCCACGATCTGCTCGGGAGACGATCGGAGTGGCCCCGATTCAAAATCAGAAAACATCCCGTTGTGTGGCGAGAACTCCGAGGACGGGCGAGCACGGACTCTGAGGATTGTAAGGCTGATTCACCTGTGTCAACAACATAGAACGTGTCCGTTAAAACAAACCTCAATCAAAACTGACGAGGACAGGATGTAGCAGGGAGCTAACAGCTAGCTACATTTAGCTTGACCATCACAACGTTACATAAAACCATCAAGTCTGGTCAGAACCTCACCGCCATGCATGGATCAGGAGCTAAAGAAATGTGACGACATTGCATAAATTATAGTGAAGATACTCATTAAGATTTAGTTATAAACAAAGGCTGAGTGCTCCTCCTCAGTGAAGTGATAACCTGGTCCAGGATTACAGTCTGAAAACTCCATGATCAAAACAGATCTTTAAAAGTGTTGATATGATAAATAATCCACAGTCCACACTTCAGTGAATCCACAGAAAATCCGTCAGTCAATAAAGAAGCTCATGACTTTTTATGATCCGTCTGCTTTGTCTCGTCTCACTAACTCGCCTTCCTCGAAAACTTTACTCCAAAGAACTCTCTTTTTCTGTGTGAGGGCATCGATCCAGCCCCGGGGTTACAGCTGGACGCTGTGATTACTTTAAGAGATAAAGAAAATAGCAGAGCGTTTTTCAGCCCTGATCCCTCCACAGCAAGCGGCTTCATCCACACGCTTCCTCCTGTGCTGGCACAGCGGCGTCGAGACGCTCATCTAACCAAGCGGGACTAATACCTCCACCCTGCGCTCGATCCCCTGCAGCTGCAACACTTCCAGCTTCGCAAGCGCCGCCAGATTCCAACGCTGACACAACACAGGAACCGCTACGACAAACACAGACACACAACACCTGTGCACTTCTCTCTGTAGAGTTACTTTCTACTTTAACACTGGTCAACTCAGAAAGGCTTCTGTTTAATCAAACCAAAAACTGCTTAATAATTGTATTTATAATTTTTTCTCTTTTGCATCTAAAGACACAGATCTGTACGGCTACATTCAACAGCTGAATACAGAGCAGCACTCTCTCTCTGCCGTTCTGTGGTTTCATGTTGAATCTGCAGTTTGCTAAACACAGTGACTCTTTTTTTCAGATCAGAGACTTTAACCCTCTAATCTCTCTCTCTCTCTCTCTGCAGGAGGATCCGTTCGTCATGGTGGCAGAGAACATCCTCGGGCAGCCGAAGAGGTATAAAGGTTTCTCCATCGACGTTCTGGACGCCCTTGCCAAAATCCTGGGCTTCAAATATGAGATCTACCAGGTGAGACCGACTCTTACCCTCAGATTACTTTCAGGAATGTCACATTTAGAGGATCAAACCTCTCAGTCCTGCTGGACTTGAACATGCTGGTGAGGATGAGGTGAACGTATTTGACATTTTTTGGCTGTGATGTTCCTGCTGGTGAAAAACCAAAATGTTTTTGACCTTACCCCAACATGTATTTAAAGATTGATGCAGATTCACTTTAGTGTGCCTCGGTTCAGATAGAAGTGATTGTACCCGACCTAAAAAGCCTCTGCATGTTTCTAATAAGCTCCACGAGCAGAAACGTGCTCAAACTAGGATCAATATTGGAGATGCTTTTGAAAAATGGAGAGAGGTTAGAACACAGAAAGGTTTACAGACCCATGCAGAGCTGGATAAACACTGAAGCTTCAGAGTCCACCACATGGTGACCTGAGTGAGCATCCACTCTAGAGAGGAGGGGGGGGGGGGAGACAGATCTCTATGATGTTTAGAATTTAGACTACAGTACACATTTTAAACACTAGGGGTCAGAGTTACATACTGCTCCTTTAACTTTACATAAACCTCAAACATGGCTCCCACCATAGTCACTTACCTTTAACTTGGTTCTGAGGTGGTGTAAGTGGTTATTTTGTTGATGTGAATTGTAACACAGGACTCTGTTTTGCTAAATTTGTCGAATATTTCATCGCTTTCCCCTCAAGAATGCCGACTCTGATTCTGTTAAATGGTCGTTAGGCATATTGAAGCTTCAGTCCTGGATGAATAACTACAGCTTTGGTTTCATTGTCCTCATGAGATGGAGCCTCTGAAATGAAGGTTTTAGTTTCGGGGGCTGTACTCTTGGTTGAAATAAGATGCTGAACCGGGGGAAGAAACTCACTAAACTTTATTTATCGTCCCTTCAGGTGGCAGACAGTAAATATGGATCTCAACTACCCAACGGCTCATGGAACGGCATGATTGGTGATCTCATCAACAAGGTAAAACTAGAGTTTACTTTTAGCCCGAATAAATCACCAGTCAATAAATAAAGTCTACGGCAGCTGATATTCAGTCTTACAGTATTTTGCGCTACGTGATTCAAGAGCAACACAAAGAACTGATTATTAACAGCAAACAATCTTCTGTTTCTTCATCCAGAGAGCTGACCTGGCCGTGTCAGCCATCACCATCACACCTGAGCGGGAGAACGTGGTCGACTTCAGCAAGCGTTACCTCGACTACAGCGTTGGCATCCTGCTGCGAAAACCGGAAGAAAAGATCAACATCTTCTCTCTCTTTGCACCCTTCGACCTCGCCGTTTGGGCTTGTATTGCGGCTGCCATCCCTGTGGTGGGAGTGCTCATTTTCCTTCTTAACCGGCTGCAGGCGCTGCGCTCCTCCTCCTCCCAGAATGCACCGCCAGGCCAGTCCTCAGGTGGCGAGGGATCAGGGACCTTGCACAGCGCCATCTGGATTGTTTACGGAGCGTTCGTACAGCAAGGTGAGCGAAAAGATGGTCATGGTAGAGAAACAATAATTGACTTATTTTATTTTAAAGGTCACATATCCCCCACAAAGCACAAGCTCCACAAAACATGTGTGTGAAGTTTCTTGTTCTAAATCCACTCTGATCCTGTATTTGATCATGTCTATAAACCCCTCTATTTCAGCCCTGCTCAGAACAGGCTGTTTCTGTGTCTGTACCTTTAAATATGTAAATGAGCTGTGTATGACCACGCCCCCTCTCTGGAAGTGCTTGAGTGTCTCGGTCTTTCTCTCTCCATGTCCTATTGTTTACGGTGAGAAGGCAGACTCAGAGGGCAGAACAAACACCTAGCTGTGGGAGTGTCACCCACCTGGGGGAGGGGCTACTGCCCTTTGTGATGTCATGAAGGGAAAATCTCCAAACGGCCTGTTTGAGCACACATTTTCTGAAAAGTGGAGCAGGCAGAAGACGGAGAGGATGGACTTTTCTCATCATTGGGGGGTTTGTAGACGGACTAGAGACACATGTTAGAGTTAGAGGAACATGGAGAAGTGGATTTTACAGAATATGTAATTTATTAATCTGGTGTTGTTGTTGAGTTAACATATTCACAGGTTGGATTCCTGCAGCCTGTATGCTCTTTGCACTCTAAACCTCCCGCTATTTATAGAGTACCTTTAAAAACACGGGTTAACAGACTGTACTGACATACAGTTGCCCGCTGATGCACTGCTTCTCCCCATGCATACAAACACCAACTGGAAGCTAAACTGTGCTGCTGTCTTTGAAATGTTCTCACAGTTTAGCAGCTCAGCTTTAATTTTTGGCAGGAATCAATCAGAGCTGATCACAGCAAAGGGAAGATTATCTTCTTTGTAAAGGGGGGATTTCTGTTTGATTTTGGGGAGTTTTAATTTAGAGCTGTTACACGGATTACACAGCGACAGAAGAGAGAAGACAATAACCACGGGAGGATTTGTAGCGTCGGAAATATATAACAGAAGCAGATTCAAGGGCATCAAAGTTTAAAGTGCTTAAATGAATTAAGGGAAGGCTTAGATTACAGAGCAGAGCTCCAGGAAATCTCTCTGTGAAACACTGAACTTCAACTAAAGACGTCCGTATGTGTTATGAATGAATGTGTGTTTGTGTGTGATCGTCTAATTACAGCCTGAACTTTTTGTGAGATTGCCACAAAAGTTTAAGGTTATTTTTAGGGCATTTATTAGATTGGACAGCAGGAGAAAGACGAGAAATGTTTGGTGGAGAGAGAGGGGAACGACATGCAGCAACGGGCCGACACTGGGCTATTCAGCTCCCCAACCACAGAAGTTGAAATGTTCATGCATGACAGCACAGTAATCTGAGCCTGCAAACAAGATGAATCTGCAATTCCATTTTCTATATGTCATGGCATAAATGTCCTAATTCGGGCCACAAAACAGAAGGGTCCCGTGTCCTCACTTCAAAATGTCCCCGCTTTGCAGAAAAAAAAATATTCTAAAAAATACTCTCCCCCTTGCTTTTGCATTCATTTTCTTTTAAATGAAAATAGATTACACAAAAATATAACTTTTTGGAAATTGCATTATTTACGAGACAGTGTCCTCTCTTTTCCTGGTGTGTCGCAATTTCTGCAATTCCCTCCCAAATGTAAACAATGACCTGAAGTCCCCCCTGCAGGACTTTACACATCAGCTAATTAGTAGAACAACAACACAGTCATCAAATGACTGAAATGCCCTTAAACAATTAAAATGTCCTCTCTTTTCAAAATGTCTAAATCTCTTATAAATTGTCCTCTAATCTAAACTCTTTTTTTCAAACTGTCCTTTTTTTCAAACTGTCCCCACTCTCAACGTCTAAAACTGTGATGGGTCCTCACAAAGATAGAAAAACAGGCACACCATGTCCATCTCTACAAACACACATGCATATGCACAAGAGAACGCACACACACACACTCACACAAACACACACACACACACACACACACACACACACACACACACACACACACACACACACACACACACACACACACACACACACACACACACACACAGTTTCCCAGCAGAAGCTCCCAGCTGCATCTATTATGGTCTGGCAGGTTGCCTGGGAAACCTTTTAGGCCTAACGGGTTGTGATTAGAGTCGCCGTGCAGCCGCTCTGCTCGCTGTGATAAAGCACCGCGCTCACCTGCTGTTTGGACGTCAGGTGCCTCGGTGCCTTTGCAGCCACTGAGAGCTAATCTGTACCTGAGAGTTCACAGGTTTGATCCCCCATGGCAGGTGTCCATTAACACCTGTGTGATCTAACACAGGGCGCTCAACACGTCCGTCATAAATCCTGTGTGTGAGTTTGAGTAATCACCTGTGTGTGTGTGTGTGTGTGTGTGTGTGTGTGTGTGTGTGTGTGTGTGTGTGTGTGTGTGTGTGTGTGTGTGTGTGTGCAGGTGGGGACGGCGTAGTCGGCTCGGTGGCTCTCAGGATCGTCATGGGCAGCTGGTGGCTCTTCACGCTCATCGTGTGTTCGTCGTACACCGCCAACCTGGCAGCGTACCTCACCGTGTCACGCATGGACCACGCCATAAAGTAAGACACACGCACACGCACAAAAAACAACACACACAACCTGACAATATGAGTGGACCACAGCGCTCGTGTTTGTGCAGCTTTGTAACTCGCTCAGAGCGGACCTTAAATTCTTTCTGTTATATTTCTGATGATTATTTTCTGACGTTTGAATCTACAGACTCAAGTTATAAAGTAAAGGTGCACAGTAGAGGATGACATCATCATGACAGTTGAACCAGCAAACAGACACGATAACAGCCTCGCTTCATTCATGTGTGCTCTATGTAGTAACATATAAGAGCCAAGAGGTGGCAGTAAGTGAATCAAAGAATCGTAGAATTAGTCCCCCCCCCCCCCCACTACGCTCTGCCAATGAAAGGTGTCTGATCCAACCTTCACAACAGGGTCCTAAGTCTCTGACTGGACTCTTCTCCTCTGTCGCCCCCCGGTGGTGGAATGAACTTCCAAACTCCATGTGATCTGCAGAGTCCCTCTGCACCTTTAAGAAAAAGCTAAAGAGCCAGCTCTTTCATGAATACCTACTAACTTAATGATGATGGTCTCCATATTATTGATGATGATGATGGTAATGACGATGGTTTTTGTTTGATAACGACGACTTATAAGATGGTTTCCATACTGATTAGAGCTCTCAAGAACTGCCCTCAATGTTGTGCTTTGCCTCTGGTCACTTCCTGTCAGCACCTGTGTGTCCAATCAGACTCAAAGCTGATCGTTTGCTCTTACTCACATTGTTCCCTTTTTTCTAGATCCTTGCTTGTGTTGTTCTTACTCTCTGATGTACGTCGCTTTGGAGAAAAGCGTCTGATAAGTGAATTGTAGAATGTAGTGCTATTTTGATCCAGATTCAGCCACCAGGGGGCGCTTCAGAGCAGCGTGTCTGACATCTGTTAGCAGCAGCAGTAAACAGGAATATTAATGTGATGAAAGACGAGAGAAATCAACGTTCCCATCCATCATTAAGGAGGCAGGACACAAACACACATGCACACACACACACACACACACACACACACACACACACACACAGAGCTGAGTGTGTCGGGGCTTTGTTGGGATCAGTGATGATCAAACGATAAATAACGCCGCTCCTGGGACTCGTTCTGTGCAGCTCAGTCTTCATCAGTCACACTGAAGGAAGTTAATTTAGTCTTTATGATCTCTGAGGTCACCGTCGGACTGAAGGACGGCGCAGAGGAGGCCAGCAGCATCAGGTTTACAATGTCCGGGATTTTAGAGACTTTTCCCGGCGTGCAACTCGTTCATTCATCCCGCTGCGGTAGCTGTGATTCAGCCAGTCCATTAATAAATTCTTAGGACTCGATGTTTGATGGACTCAGTAAATCAAACATGAGACTCCCTTTACACATAAACAGTGAACAGCATCTGCAGCGCCCCCACGTGGCTGTGTGTGTGTGTGTGTGTGTGTGTGTGTGTGTGTGTGTGTGTGTGTGTGTGTGTGTGTGTGTGTAGATTAGAGAATGAAGAGAAGAGAAGGAAAGACAGATTTAAGTGGATTGCGTTTATCCCTTTTTGGCAGTGGTGGTCTGAGGATTCTTTCTTTGCAGCTGCTTTAAGAATATTTCCTCATGATCCAATAAAACCCTGAAGATCTGAGGGGGCGTCGAACTTAGATTACAAGAATCATTTCTGTTTTAAACACGTGTAAACTTAGATGTTGTTGTTGTACGCTGTTCCCTCAGAGATCAGCTCACCAAAACATCAGCTCCCTCCCTCGCTCCCTCGCTGCCTCGCTCCCTCCCTCCCTCGCTCTCTGAGTACAATTAGCCTCTAAACGGATGGCGTCGCTGGGCTCTGTGGGCAGGTCATTAGCAGAGAGTCTCTGAGTGATGACTCGTCTGTGATCTTCCTCCCGGTGACATGAGTGACTCGGCTCAGCGTGGCTGCCTCTCCACAAGCAGCACGCGGCTAATTGCTCATGAAAACCTCCGGAGTTCCTCGCACGTTTGGCTGATTATTAATCTGAAGGAGGCAGATAAAAAAGATGGATCACTTCAGGAGGCATGCAAAAGGCAAAAAGAAACAAGCTGAATCAACCCGCCCTGAAGAGGACGGGTAGAAACGGCTCAAGTGGAGCTAAATGTAGCGGGTTCAAACGGCTCACAGCGTGAACATTTCTCCACAAAGGAACAACGCAGCGGCGGCGGCGGCAGCGGCGGCACAGAGTTCAAGTGTTTAATGCATCTGAAAAAGCAGAAAGTCTCTCTGACATTTAACCCTCCTGTTGTTACCCACCAACACGCTGACCTTAGCCCTTCTTCTCAGAGAATCAGCAAAAAACTGAAACTAGAGAGAGAAAAGTTCTGAAGTGTTCAAAGCTCAAACTTTTTATATCATGTGAGTGTGCGTCACTACAGACGGCCTGCATTTCATACCTTAAACTTAAAGTCAGGGTTGGTCATTTCCTCCACTTCTGCAGAGTCTGGTGTAAATTGTCTTTAGGTCCTGACAGAAATGAATAACTCATGTTCTCTGAAACAGGAACAAAGAAAATCCATCATCTGGATCAGTTTGTAAGTCTGTAAAAACTTCAACCAATGTCTGCCACGAGGTACCAATCTGATGAACCAATCAGACGCCTCCCTGCCTCCCTGCTCGCTCTCTACCTCACGTGTGCACCAAGAGTGCAACACAAAATTAGGAAGAAGCGTGTGGACCGCTGAGAAGTGTTTCCTCCCCGGTCCCCAAACTAAAGTCTGGACTAAACTTCTGTTTAAACAAAAACAGATTTATTTCAAATAAAAAAGTGCTGTATGAATTTAAATTTAGGATAGGATAATACTTTATCGATCCTCAGAGGGGAAATTCAGGCGTTGCAGCAGCACAAATTTGTGTTTGGCATTAATCTTGTCATCTAAACATCCGGTAGAGGACCAAAAGGTTATTTTAAAAATTCAAAGTATCACCTAAATATTCTGTCGCAGTTCACAAAGTTATGAATAAGTTTTTGAAGGTTTCACATGAAAGTTTCAGGATGAGGTCTGTTGCTGACTCGCTTTATCAAACACTAAAATATTCCCGTTCTTTAAAGACAGAGAGGGCAGAGTCAGCAAACAGCCTCTTTATTCAGCACTTTGAAGCACAAACAAAGAAATCAAAGTTAACCTGCAGGAGAGTTTTTTATTATATAGAATATTTAAATGAAGATCTGAGAGAGCTGCAGCCTTTCTGTTCGTCTCTTCACTTGTTTTTGTTTGTTGCAGAGCGATCTCTGCGCGCTCGCTTTCTCAGCTCTGTGGCCTCAGGTGCAAACAGACGCAGCGCCGAGGCGTTCACTTTAAACTGTAACCATCACATCTGCGTCCGCTGCTAACGGCTGTCAACAGTTTAGCTTCTGTCGTTAGCAAACACAAACACACAAACACACACAGTGAAGCTGCTGATCCAGGGTCAGAGAGAGAGAGAGACACGTTCAGCTTCAAACAGAGAGACGGTGTCTGCAGGAGACGGAAACACAAACAGACTTCTTTAAAGTGACTCTGCACACCTGGAGGAGACCTGAAACCAAAGTGTCTGTTAGCACAAACCTCGTTTCAGGCTTTTAAACAGGAGTATTGTGTAAATCAGTGAACTTCTTCTTGTGATGAAAGATAAAACAGAAAACTCAAAGTACTTGGTCTTTTTCAATTTTCTGATTTTTTTCAATTTTCAAAATCCAAATCAAAAAAACGCCAACCAGAATTTACATTTTTAGACACTTCAAATCCATTATTCCCCCTTTACCTTTTCTGAAGATTATTTCATTTTGGAAATAACAGGAGCAAAATGTTCTGTTTCATACTGTTAAATACTCTCCACAGCAACTTTTCCCTCCTCCTCCTCCTCCTGGGGGATCACGATGCTTCCCATGAGAGACCAGATAAAAACATTTTTAAGATTTAATTTAGTGACTTTAATGAGAGACAGGACAGTGAACAGAGTCAGAAATTAAGGAGAGAGAGAGAGGGGAATGACATGCGGGGAAGGAGCCACAGGTTGGATTTGAACCTGGGCCGCCCGCTTGAAGGACTATAGCCTCCATACATGGGGCGCATGCACTAACCACTGCGCCACCAGATGAGATCTTTAAGCCCTCCAGAGAACTCTAGGTCTAACCCCGGGGTCTCCTCCCAGTTGGTTATGCCCTGAAGACCTCCTAAGGGGGGCGTCCAGGAGGATCCTGATCAGATGTCTGAACCTACTCACCTGGCTCCTTTTGATGTGAAGGAGTAGCAGCTCTACTCTGAGCTCCTCCCCCTGAATGTTTAAGCTCCTCCCCCTCTCTCTAAGGCTGAGCCCGGGCACCCTCCAACTCATATCGGTCGCTTGAATCCTCGATCTTCTTTAGGTCACTACGCGACTCTTACTTTGCTGCAAACTGTAAATGTTGAACTCTCTGTGCAGGAAAACATCGAACCAAAGATGTTTGAATCTTCTCTCATGACATTAAGATCCTTTCAGAAACAAAATTACAGTGTGAAACACTTTTACAAAATTTGAGACCAATTTACATTTTGAAAAACGCTTTTACATTTTGTTAAATAAAATTGCAAAACCAAAACAAATTTACATTTTATAAAAACAAATTTACATTTTATAAAAACAAATTTACATTTTATAAAAACAAATTTACAAGATGTGAAACACTTTAACAAGCGCTGAGACAAATTTACAAACGACAGAATTTGAAGGAAAAGGAATGTACCAAATGCAGGAAGTGACCCGGAAGTGATTGAGTGAGGGGTCATTTTGTTTGTTTTGGCGGAAATTTTGTTTTTCAAAATGTAAATTTGTCTAAAATTTTGTAAAAGTGTTTCACATTTTGTAATTTTGCATTGCACTTCCCAGCCACCGTATGAAACCTCTCGCGCTCTTTGTTGCAAACAAACATTTAAACCTGTTGGTGATGTCATCTTTAACCTGGAATCAGACTCTTGAAGCGTTTTCATCAAACGCCTCTGAGTTTCTGCCTCGCAGCCGACGTTCACAACATCAAA